TTCTGATCTTCTGACTCCAAAGTCATAGTTGCCCCCAAACCTCTGGAGCCCCCTCCCCTCTATGTAGGTCATAGGAGAGAGCTGTGCTGACGTGTGGAGTGGGGTCAGGCCTTGGCCGGTGGGGCCGCGCCTCCTGCCCGGGGACAGCTGGGAACCGGACCTCGGTGGACACCATCCCGTCTTCTACAGCACTGGCATTTATCTAGCTTCAGACTTGCATGTGTGAGCTCCCCACATAACTCGCGCCTCTCCACCACCATCTTAAGGAGTAATGGAGTTGACACATTTTCTTTTTTTCTCCCTGAATTTTCTCATTCGCACTGAAGGCAGACTTTGCCTCTGTGGTGGGAACTCAGAAACTCGAAATGGAAATGTCTAGGCAGGGACTCTAGGCCAGCTGGAGTCTCATTGTACCAGTGAGGTTGGGCCAAGTTATGCTCCGTAACAAGCCGCCCCCAGCCCTCGTGGTCCAGACAAGGCATTCTTCTTTGCTCTCACCGTCTACCAACCCTACTTTATTTATTTTTTATTTTTTATTGTTTTGTCGGTCGTGAGGCTTGAACTCTGGGCGCTGTCCCTGAGCTCTTCAGCTCAAGGTGAGCACTCTACCGCTTGAGCCACAGGACCACTTCCGGTTTTCAGAGTGATTTATTGGAGATAAGAGTCTCACGGACTTTCCTGCTTGGGCTGGCTTTGAACCTCGATCCTCGGATCTCACCCTCCTGAGTAGCTAGGATTACAGGTGTGAGCCACCAGCAACTGGCTTCAATCCTACTTTAATGAGAAGCATGTCTTGGCTGGCAGGGACCCAAAGTGCAGAATGTCATGGCTGACACACAACCCTCTCCCAGTTCCCCTCCCCGTCCCCACAGCAGAGGGACGGGAGACACTCAGACCTTCTGCTGGGAAGTTATGGGGTGTCCAGAGTCATGTTCACCTCTGACCTCCTAGGGGTCAGTGTAGAGAGCTGCGAGAGGCCGCACCTGGAAGATGGCGCCAGCTTCCGCCTTCCCGATGGCCAGTGCTCTCTGTGGTAAACAACTCCTTATATGGCTAAGGCAAAGAATCTGGCTTGCTTCCGAGCACCTGAGCCTATTGGTGGATCCCACGTGGTATATCAGGGTTGGCTACCCAGCGGGTACTTAAGGCTGTGGGGAATTTTCCCCGGGGTTGGGGTCAGAAGATTGTTCAAAGGTCCTGAATAAGCTGCAGAGAGAAGAGTTCCGTGTCGCGTCTTTCTTGGTGGTCAAGGCGGTCGCGACAGGTCAGAGCGGTGCACCCCTGCCCAGCCTGGAGGAGGAGCCCGCATGGCATTACCTGCGCCTGAACCCCCTGTGCTCTGAGGACGGCCCTGGGCCCTAGGAGTTGAAGTTCCTCATGGAAGGGACAGGGGGCAGCAGGCTCAGACAACTGAGTCAGCCAGCCTGACGGGGGAGGGCCCTGTGCGAGGGAGGAGGCCTGAGCAGCCCCGCCCAGCTCTGGACCTGCAGCCAGTGGGAGTCCCACGGGACCCAAGAGGACAAGAACTCTAGGACACACACACAGCCAGGCCCCAGACCAGCCCGGGAGGGGCTCAGCCCCCACAGACCTCGGTCCACTTGTGCACCCATGTGCTTGTGCTGGGTAGCTAGGGTGGGTGTTGGGGCCAGGGAGAAGGGACAGGCATCCCCTAGGTGGCTGGCTTCCCTTCCGCGTTTACAAAGCTGGCTGAAGAAGAACTTGCTGGAAGCCTGCATTTAGGGGCCTCCACCGCGGACCAGGCTGGTAGTCAATACTTCAGGAGCTGGGCTGCATCACAAAGCCAAGGGGCCACCTCTTAAGCATGGCAGGCACTCTGGGATTTGGGGGATGGGCCCAGGGGGCTGAGAGGAGGGGAAGCACAGGGACGGGCTGAGGCGCGGCCAGGGAACTCAGGCTTGTGTGTGAGGTGCATTCCTGAGCTCCAAAGGCAGAAACAAAAGTGTTCCCTTGTCTGCAGCTGAAGAGACGGCAATATTATGGTGTAACTAGGACCAGATGGGCTGCGGGGATTTCCAAAGGCCTTTTAGCATATTAGACAAAATAGCCTCTCAGACGCACGCCACCACCTCGTCTGGCTGCCCGGGTATCAGTTACCAAGACGGCCGGCCTGGGCTGCGCACACTCACCGAGAGCCGAGGAGGAGGTGCACTCCTGGCGCCCCCAGCAGGAGCCCCGGCACGCCCCTCTCTTCCCTAGGGCTCCAAGGCCAGGCACACACCTGCAACCTCACACTCTCCGAGTTAGGACGGAGCTGGCAGGTTCCAGAAGCTACCCAGCCAGAATGGCTCACCTCCTGGTAGGAGGGGAGTCCAGCACCAGCCCGCCCCCCAAACACCGGCCGGCGGGGTGCCAGGCTCTGAGGAGCCCAACCTCTACCTCCCTGGCCAGAAGACCCTGCAAAGACACCCATTCCACCTCGTCTGCAGAGCACAGCCACACAAGGATGAGGCCACGCCATCCACCACAGAGCCGAGGGGCCGGGAGGCCGCAGGTAGGATGGCAGCACAGCACGCACCTACGGAATGTCCCAGGAACCGCTGAGGCCCAGCGCGGCCTCAAGTTCAGACCTCAGCTCTGGCGGCAGAGCTCCCGGCTACCCTGATCCGCCCGCTGCCCTCTGGGTCCCTGGTGCCTGTTTTTCTGACTGGAGCGAGGAGAGAGGACTGAGCCCGGAGGGTGCTTCCCACACTAGCCCACTCTGCCCAACCCCAGACCTGTGTTTCTGCGACTGCCACTCAGCCCCTGGTACAGCACACATCCCGCTGCCCCACCGCGCTGCCAGGTGGCAGTGGCGCTCCTCTGCTCTGCCTGGCTGCCGTCAGGCGTGGGCGGTGCCTGCAGGCCCCTGAGTCATGAGTTCCGGACAGTGCAGGGCAGTCAGGGGTCCTGCCCAGGCTGGAGGACTGGGGGCAGACTTCCCAGGTTGCAGGGCGTGCCGGGCACAGGCCCCGCCCTCCTGAAGGTGGGTCCTGCCTCCCAGCAGGCTCCGGGAAGTCCCCCTGGCCATCAAGCAATCGGACTGCAAAGAGCCAGTGCAAAGCCAGGGTGCCAGCAGGCCTCCTCCTCGCCCGCCCGGCTGGCCGGCCGCAGCCCCCGCCCCCTCAGCCCCACGGCGCGAGGTAGAACAGGTGGTCTCCAGGACAGTTGGCTCCAGCCCTGCCTATGCCAATCCACAGGCCCCGCGCAGCTGCCCGCTCCGTTTTATTGAAAGCCATCACTTTGTACTTGGAAAATTGAAGCTGAAAGGCAGACGGCCCTCAGGAAGCTCAGTGTGTTTCCCAGCTGAACAGCATTTCCAAGGCCCCAGCCTTTGTAGTCTCTACTCCTCTCCACCCGCCCCCCCTTCCTCCCCCCTGCCCTCCACCTGGCCCTGCCATCCCTGCCCGTCTCACCGCCGCCTCAGGGAGGGCTTGCAGGGGCCGCGCCTGGCACTGTTGGACACCACTGCCCATCGATCACCGGGCATGTCACCCCAGGTTTTCTCACCATGTTGGTGAGGTACCTGGCAGACTCACCCCACGCTTTACTTCAGTACTTGACAAATGTCACTGTCACCCCATTTTAGAGAGGAACAAACCAAGGCACAGGGAGGCAGTCACCCAGCTGGTGAGGGGTGGTGAGGCTGAGCTGTCGCCTCCTTGGCCATCAGGTGGCCACCCCTCTGGGGTGGCAGGCATCCCCAGGCCGGGCCAACTGGTCTGAATGGATGCCATTCAAGGGCAGCCGCCTGGAGGTGGTCCTGGCCCCTACCCCTAATGTGTGGCTACAGGCGCTGAGCAGGCAGCCCAAATGGCTTCCTTCAGATCTGCCCAGGGGTCCCGCTAGGCCGGGAGAGCTTGGCCGGATCCAGCCTTTGTTTATGCCCTGGCGTCGGGTGGGGCATTCTTTCCTGTGTCTGCCCCCTCCTCCACTAGGACTCTGTAAAACTGCACTCCCTGGGGTCCCTGTAGGGGGGGTTCCCACAGCTGGGCACTGCGGCTTCCCGCTGGAAGCTCTCTCTACCAGGCCACATGGAGAGCAGAGCCCCAGCCCCAGCCCCAGGGCCTTCCCCCGGCCCCGCCAGCCTGCAGCCAGCTGTGCGGCTTGGTGCTTGGAGGCGGCGGCGGGGCCTGGGCCCCTACCCCCTGGACAGCTGCCCCAAGTCAGGTCTTCTGCTCTGTGAATTTTAAACCTTTATTTCCTTTAGTTCTTGGAAGGCAGGGACTGGTCACTGTGAGAACACACAGCGGCCAGCCCAACCACGCTTTACGACGCTCTAGGGCAGACACCCCATGACAAGCTGTCCCGGCGGGGACCTCGAGTCCAACAGAGGACATGGCAAGGGGGTGGCGCTGTGCAGTGTTAGAGCCTCGGGTCTGGCCTAGTAGGTCAAGATTTGGGGTGACCTGTGACCCCTCCCACATAGGGGGCATGGGAAATACCATGGAAGCAGGGAAGCACCGGATGGTCACGAGTGTCTTGCGTGGGGCTGACTGAGGCTGACGCAGCCTGGCTGACTCGCTTCCTCCTCTCCCCTTTCGCCTCTGGTCAGGGTGGCAGTCACCAGCTAGGAGGGCACACACTCAGTTTCCTGGAGGACCCCAATGTCTCCCTCAGAGCAGCACAGAGGGCAGATACACCTGGGTCCATGGACAAGGAGCGGTGGGAACTGGGCACTCTGGGTGAGGCCAGTGGAGACCGCAGCCCCCAAGCCTGCCCCGCTTCTCCCCTCGCCTACCTGGCTAGCCCCAGACCCCAGGAAGTCCCTCCTGGGGCCACAGCATCTGCAGACCGCGCTGGGCAAGCAGCCCTCCCAGGACTTGAAGCGGCCAGGCCTCACTTCCTCTGCCTTCCCCACCTGGTCCCTCTAGGACCAGTGCCCTTTGGTGAGCCAAGAATTCTTCCCCTAAAACTGCCTCCAGGGCCCAGCAGGGAGACTGGGGGGGGGGGGGGGGAGGGCGCGGGCAGGGAGTACGTGAGTGAGAATCCTCAGGACCCCATTCACGGCAAGCCCGGACTTTGCTTTATTGTGGGGAATCCCAGCTGTGAGAGCCCCCGAACTGCTTTCCAAAGGCCCTACACCCACCCAGGGCACTTGCCTGCTGTCTGGGAGCCCAGGGCGGGCTGAGGCTGCACCCCGCAGCTCTGCCCTCGCGAGGAGGGAGGCCCCTTCCACACCAACAGAAAGTAAGAGATGGTCACTTCCTCCGCCTGACCAGTCACCATGACACCTCCGGGCCCTCCTTGTCCTTCTCCGGGCGTGCCCACCTGCTCACCACCCCATGAAGAGGCTTCCCTGGAACTGGCTCTGCTTTCTGCCACGCCAAGTGGCCTAGAGAACCTGGGCAGCCCGGGGGAAATGGAGGAATGGCCAGGCCCGGCCCTTCTGCCCCTCTGGCTCACTGTGCTGCCTCCGCAGCCCCAGGAAGTTAGACGACATTAAGCAGTGAGGGCGGCTCGCGAGGGGCGCGGCGGGCAGGGAGAACTGAGCGGCGGCGTCAGGGCACAGTGCGGGGAAGCAGCGGCGTGTCTGAGCTCTGTGCTGAGACGCTGGGAGACTCGGGCCCGATGAGGCCCAGGTCGTGCAGATTCAGGATGGAGTCGGCGATGATCCTGGCCGTGCGTTTCTGGTACCCGCCTGAAGTCACCATGAGGATGGGAATCTGGAGGCCTCGGACCACGCGGAACACCAGCTCGTCCCTCTTCACAATGCCCTGTGAGGGATGGGGAGGACAGGCTCAGACCCCGACTCATCAGTCCCTGTCCTCCCTGACACGTCCTCCCTCCCTCCCTGCGGCTGCTCCCTGCCTCCCAGAGCACGCCTGGAGCCCAGGGACGTCCCCAGGGTTGGCATGCACCCCTGGGCTGATGGGAAGCCTCCCCCAATGGCTGCCTGAGAAGGGGGTGCTGGGACACACCCCTGGGCTGATGGACAGCCCCCCGAGGCGGTCCCCCTCGAGGATGTCGGTGCCAGCGTTGTACACCACCACGTCGGGCAGGTGCTCCTGGAGCGCCTTCTCTACGTTCCTCCCCACTTTACTCAGGTACTCCTGGTCCTCCGTGCCCCACTCCAGCTCCACCTTCCTCCGGATGGCCTCTGGAAGGAAGACATAAATAGTCCAGTGTGTGGGGCAGGAAACAGGTTCAGGGCGGGAAATGCTGTGGGCCCTGTCACCACGCAGGACTGGAAATGGACCTGACTTTAGTTCACTGGGGCCTTTCATTCCTCCAGCTGAGCTGAGAAAGCAGCGGCTAGAGGAGCCACTCCCGGGAGTGCCGAGAGGGGCTGGGGGCTGGCTGGGGGCAGGGTGGCCTGCTGGCCACACAGCTCACCTTTGGCCAAGCGGTCCCCGGGGTAGATGTGGCGGTTGTAGACATCCATGATATACACGCGCCTGTCACCCATGAAGTCTCGCTCATGCCCGTTGCCCTGTGGAAGGACATGGCCGCTGCTATGGCAGGTACCGCGGGACCCCAGTACCCCCACACCTGAGGCGTTCCCAGAGGGAGCTGCACAACTGAGGTGTGACCTGGACACCTGGCCCCAGGGCCTCTGGCAGCCCTGTCACAAGCACAAAGAGAATCTTCCATGGAAACTGAGGTAGGAACTCCAGCCTTGCCACCCTCGGCCTACAGTGGAATCAGGTGGGCCAGGAATGAGGAATGCAAACTGTGCAGGCCCATGTGTGAGTGAGCGTGACTCTGTATGGCTGTGCGTATGTGTGATGGTGCATTGTGTACATGTGTTGTGTTGTGACTGTATGGGTGTGCATGTGTGTATACATGTGAAACTGTGACTACGAGTGTACATGTAGCTGTGTGACTATGTTACTGTGTATGTGTATATGTGTGAGTGTGGCTTGTGTGCAACTATGTGACTGTGTATGTGTACATATAAGTATGTGTACATGTGACTATACAACTGTGATTGTGTGTCTGTGTATGTGTACACGTGAGTGTGTTCACGTGATGGTATGTACATGTGACTGTGAGATTGTGTATGACTGTGCACATATACGTGTGTGTTCATGTGGCTGTGTGATTATGTATGTGTACATGTGAGTACGTGTTCGTGTGACTGGGTACATGTGACTGAGACTGTGTGACTCTGTGTGTACATGTGAGTGTTTGGTGACTGTGTGACTGTGTATGTATGTGTACATGTGTTTGTGTGACTGTGTATGTATGTGTACATGTGAGTGCATGTTCGTGTGATTGCGTGTGACTGGGTACATGTGACTGAGATTGTGTGTGACTCTGTGTGTACATGTGAGTGTGTGTTCATGTGACTGTGTATGACTGAGACTGTATATGTATGTGTACATGTGAGTGTGTGTTCGTGTGACTTGTGTGACTGTATGTGTACATGTGTGTGTTCACATGAATGTGGGTGGGTGTGTATGTGCACGTGTGTGCATTCATGCGACTGTGTGTGACTGTGTGTGCATAGAACTGTGTAACTGTGACTGTGTGTGTTCAGAGTCCCTGGTGCCATGAATTCTGGTGGCCTCCGGGGCCCAAGGACCCGAGGCTGTGCCTGGGGCTGGTCCACAGTCTCTCAAGCTCAGGGCAGGAGGCAGGCACCTGAGACTCACAGCAGAGGACGCAGCACAACCAGACTGGGCTTTAGGAAGAGGCACCACCAGTGTTCGGTCAGATAGGAGGGAGGATCCCGGGGTTCAAGAGGGAGGAGGAGGCCCTTCCCCACGGCTGGATGCAGGGCTCCTTCCAGCTTGAGTAAAGCAGGAACGGAGGGCGGCAGGAGTCCCGTGTGAGGGGAGCCGATGGTGGGGTGGGGGACAGGCTCCTGGGACACTCACCTGATGTGCATCCAGGTCAATGATGGTGGCCTTGGAGATGCCCTCCACCCGTTCAAACAGAAACTGCCGGGGAAGAGAAGAGGCATGAGGACTCCACAGACAGCGAGGGGCAGGCAGGGGATGCATGGCCTCGGTGTGCAGGCCAGCAGGTAGACACCGCTTGCCTAGGTATGTGCAGCCAGTAGTGAGAGGGCTCCGGAGGAGGGCAGACCCTGAGCTCCCCAGATGCCCTGGGACATGAGGGGAACCCCCACAGACCTGCAACTTCATCCCCCAAATTCTGCCTCTTCCTCCAAAGACAAAGGCCAGTGCCCCCTCCTCCAGGAAGCCTCCCTCCCTCCTCTGCCCTGCCAGGCCTCCTGCTCTACCATCAGCCCCAATGCCAGGCCTGTTGGCCCCCCGGCTCCTGAAAGCCCTGTGTGGACGGGGGCCGTGTTGGCCTACACCATGCGCAGCACGGGGTCAGTCATGGGGTACGGGACTGGTGCTGGGGGTCATGGTTTTAGCTTGTGACCACTCTACCCTGAGCCCCGCTTCCTTCCTCTGGGGCCCCGGGGAGGGCTCTCGGGAGCCCAGACACACCTTGATGGCAAGCGTGATGTCAGCATAGGCACAGAAGCCGCCGCCGCGGTCGCTGGAGCAGTGGTGGAAGCCGCCCCCTGTGGAGGGTGGGTGGCGGCACTGTCTGGCTGGGTCTAGGCACCCCCTGCCCAGCCTCCCCGTCCTCCCCTTCCAGCTCCCAGGCTGCACCTGGGCATGCCACACGGGCCACAAGGCAGCTCTGTGCCACAGCCACCAGTGCAGAGCAAGGGCTAGCTCTCGGGGAGACCCGGGCATGCGGACCACAAGTGTCCTCTCACAACCACTCCCCGCACGGGAGCTCGCAATCCCCACGGCAGAGAGCCGCTCCTGTCCCCACCTAGCTGGGCCGGCCCTGTGGTCGCCATCGGGAAGCAGGTGGTCCAGAGCCAGCTTGCCTTGGGCCCTGGTTCTGCTAGGGGAGGCTGGGGAGGCTGGGAGGGTGGGCTCGGTTGGCCATGGCTGCCCAAGGCAAAGGGGATGACTTGTCTTCCTTCAAACCTGAGACTCAGCCTGGAGCCTTGGAGCCCACGAGCCTTTCCCTGGCAGGCCCACCGGCCAGCAAGAGTGCACATAAGGGACAAGTCTCCACCCACTGACATGAACTTACAGAAAAGGGACAAGGCACGGGTCTCCACCCCCAGGCCACAGGCCCCTGGGCTTGGGCTCGGCTCAGGCCTCCCTACAGCCAGAAGGGGATGAAGTCACCAACAGCCCCATTCACCCCTGCGTAGACTCAGGCACAGAAGGGATCAGTAGCTTGCCCAGAGCCACACAGCCAGGTGATGGCAGACCCAGGACGGCTCAGGTCCTGCCTCTTAACTTCAACCAGGCCACAACACTTCCCAGGGCAGAGGCCCCAGGCCCCTTGCTGTGGACACGGACATGAATCACTCCTTGGTGCAACCAAGTATCAGCACACCACCCTGGGCCAGACCTAACTGGATCCCTGGGGATGCCAAGCAGCAGGAGAACCGGGCTGGCCGTGCAAGCTCACGGAAGAGCCAGGAGCTCCGGGGGAAGGGGGAGGGGCTCTTGGTGAGATCGCCTGATGACACCTATGCAGCTCAAACCAGAGGCTGGGAGGGAAGGGGCTGTGCACCTGTGACACGCCGTGCTCCGTGAGGGGCAGTGACAGGGACTCCCGTGTGTGCAGCCCTCCCAGGACCCACCCTGAGGGACTGGATTATAAGGAGTCTCCCTTAGGACCTGAGAAGGTGATATTGATGCTGTATGCTGACCTGGGCCCCAGGATGCAGATGAAGTCTTCCAGGGGAGCCCCACAAAGGTGGGAATCGCTCCACACAGAGGAGGGCAGACTTACTGGGAAGGGGCAGGGGAGTTATTAGGTGTGTGTAAAAGGCTGGGCCGGAGTTGTATACAAGGTCCCACATTGGACAGAGACACAGGAGGCTGCAGATCCACCTGAGGAAGCTGCAGGGCTCGGGTCCTTTTGGCCCTCCCTTCCCCCAGACCCATTTCAAGCCAGCCAGAGGTGCGCAGGCCCAAGCACTCACCTACGTTGATGGCCCAGCCTCGCTCCACAGCCAGCTTCCCTGCCTTGGAGACAAGCAGAGGGTGAGGGCAGGTGACCAGCCCCTTCTCTCACCCACTGATCCCTCCCCTGGCCAGCTCCGGGGTGGGAAGAAGCTGTAGCGAGGTACCGGGACCCCTCACCCACCAGCACGGTTGGTCAGTCTAGCAAAGTCAGCACCAGACCGGCTGGCACAGGAGGCACACAGCTAAAGGCCCTATGTGACTTGCAAGAAGTGGAAGAAACTCATCCCAGTGAACTGAGGACTTTAAGGTGGCTTTGGGGGGGGGGGGGGGGAGAGCATGTTTTGGTAGACCTGTTGTTGTAATCCTGCAGGAATACATAATTAAGACGAGTGGATCAAAGATACTGCTCTCACAGTTGGTGAAATGTCCCTCGGTTTGGCTCGGTTTGGCTCGGTTTGCCATTTACACTAGAGCCCCAGGGGTAGAATATACCCTGTGGTGGTGGGAATTGTGGAGATGGGCCTTATATGCCAGCAAATATGGTAATGGTGGGGGGGGAGGGCAGGAACTGGGGGAGGGGAGGAGATCCAATTCCCCAGACAGAAAGCTTTTCGCAGAAAGGGTCCTTGTTGCTGGGTCTGGGGAATAGCTGGGATTTTGCTCAACTACTAGATGGAGGAGGAAGGACAAGGCAGGGAAAGACAGGGGCTAAGGGGGGGGGCGGAGAGGGGGGCAGGGAATGTGAGGGGAGGGAGCTGTGTCCGCCTCCTCCCCCACCTACCATTATGGTTCCTCCTGTCTGGGTCCGCAGGGGTCTCAGCACCTTCCTCTGCACAAGGAAGTTGGGAAGGAAGATGACAGGGGGGATCTCGGTGATGGTGGCAACGACAAAGGACCACTGTGGAAAGAAATGGAAATCAGCCCCTGCCCGGCCCGGGGATGCTCTCCAGTTGCCCTGGGACATACTTCTTTGGTTAGAAATGAGAGCCAAGCCATCCCCACACCACTGGGCTGGCCAAGCTTTGGGCTCTGGGTGCAGCGAAAAGCAGTCCGCATTTCTCAGAGCAAGGTCCAAATTCCCCAGCACTGGGAAGCACTTGGAAGTGCGCGGCTGCCCTCTTGTGCCCAGAACAAGGGCAGCAGAGAGCTGCCAGGATGTCTGAGGAGTTCAGCTGACCCCTAGTAAAGAAAAGGCCACTGGGGCCTGGAAGGGAGGGCCTTTCCGTCTCCTTCCTCCGGCCACGGTCTTTGCCCCAGCTGCTGAGGGTCTACGGAACAGCCAGACACATGTGCTCCAAGGCCAGGGGCAGGGCGTGCCCCCCGACCTCCAGACCACAGTACTGTGGTCTGTCAGGCAGCCTGACAGCCCCCAGAAGACGCCATCATCTGCCCAGCTGGAGACGCTCAGGGCTCTCCTGCTCTCCAGCAGCCCCAGGAGGAGCAGACTGAGCCTGGCTGATGTCTGGAGATACTGGCTGTAAACACTTTGTCAGGCCCTAGCAGCGTGAACAAGCCCTGATGTGGGCATGGGAAGAAATATGACTGAGAAGCAGGGCATGTATGAGGAGGGAGGTAGACAGACAGACAGGCCTCGTGGGAGAGGCGCCCCCTGCAGGTGAACAGTGAACAAGAGTCAAGTTGGAAAGGCAACTTGGGGCAGAGGTGCAAGGCCAGAATGAAGAGAAGTAGGCAGAGCTAGGACCAGTCATGTGAGCTTCTAGGTCGTACAGAGCAGTAAAGAGCCATATCTAGTGCTGTCCCAGACTGCTTTAGTATCTCCAGGGACAGGAAAAAAAATAAGCCAGGAGCCAGTGGCTCACACCTATAATCCTAGCTACTTAGGATCTCAGTGTCCTGGTTCAAAGCTAACCCAGGCCAGAAAGCCCATGAGTATCTTCAATTAGCCACCAGAAAGCCAGAAGTGGCACTGTGGTTCAAAATGGAAATAGTCCTCCTGGGATTTGTGGGCTCCTAAGTGCCCAGCATCCTCCGCAGCCTGCTATCACAGTCACCCAGCTCCCAACCCGTGGCCCTGCTCCTTGCATTATGGTGTATCCAGTGTCACCTAAGAATGTGTGAAGAAAGCAGACCCTCAAAGCCCGCCCTGGACATCAGGCCTCAGGAACAAGTGGGCCCAGAAGCCCGTTGGGCTGTAACAAGCTGTCCAGTGATTCCGATGCTGGCTCCACTTGACGTGTCTCTGCTCTGAGCCACAACACAGGCTGAATGAAGAGTGAGGTGCCCCCGCAGCCACCAAGAGTCGGCCTCCAGCCTCTCCACCGCAAAGCTCCACACCAAGCAGCCTCTGTGGGTGCCACAAACTGCAGGACCCACTTGGGACCTACTGTCCTAACCATTCAGGTCCAAAAGTGCTCACAAGAGTGCACACTGGTCACCTGACTCCTTCAGGTAGACCCCCGGCCCACAGAGGTTCAAAACAAGAAATGCTCTAGGGGAAGGGATGGGCTGCAAATCTACTCAGAATGCCCCCAACTTGGGTGAGTCCCTTCCACCAGTGAAACAGCACACAAAAGGAGAGAAGGGCCGGAAGGGAACACAAGAGCATGCCTCAGCAAGTGCAGAGAAAGTCTGGCAAAAATCCAACCCTTTTCCAGCATAAAAACCACTACACACACTTGGAGAAGAACACTCTCCCAGTATGGTGAAGGGCATTTATTAAAAACAAACCAACTACCCACAGTGATAATAGCAAGGCTAAAAGCTTCCCACAAAGTCTCCTGCTTTGCCATCTCTACTCAACACAGTCTGGAGTTCCAGCAGATTGACTACGCAAGAGAAATCGATCAATCATCCATCAATCAGCAGTATCTGTACTGTAAAGGAAGAGGTAAAATGGTCTCCACTCGCCAGTAGCGTGATGTTATACATAGAAGGCGCTAAGGAACATGCACACAAGAACTATGAAAGCTAGAAAAATACGTTTAGCAGAGCCGTAGGATATAGAATCCACATCCAGAAATAAGCTACATTCCTAGGCACTAGGAAGGAAACTAAGACGACAATTCCATTCACAATGGCACCAGAAGGAATAAAACAGAATGTAAACAGAAAGTGCAAGACTTAGCTGCAGGAAACTACCACATCGCTGAGAGAAATTAAGAACGCCTAACTAACCTGGAAATAGTCCAAAATTATGCATGTGAAGACCAAGTTTCATTAAGATGGCAGAACTCCTAGAGACCTATATAGACTTATAGCTTTTACAAAACATCAAGAAGTTGGTCCTATGATTCACAGGAATCTTAAGGGACCATAAATGGTCAAAACAATCTTGAAAAAAGAAGAAAACTAGAGGATTACAATTCCACATTTTACCCCTACTACAAAGCTGCAGTCACCAAAATAGTATGGTACTGACATGATAGATATACAGATCAAATGAAAATCCAGAAATAGTCGGGAGGGATAAAACTGGGAGAAAATGAGGGAAAGGGTAATATTGTTCAAAAAGAAATGTAAGCTTGGTACCAGTGGCTCATGCCTGGAATCCTAGCTACTCAGGAGGCTGAGATCTGAGGATCAAGGTTCAAAGCCAGCGAGGCAGGAAAGTCTATGAGACTCTTATCTCCAATGAACCACCAGAAAACGGGAAGTGGCACTGTGGCTCAAATGGTAGAGCACTTGCCTTGAGCTGAAGAGCTAAGGGACAGCGCCCAGGCCCAGAGTTCAAGCTCCATGACTGACAGAAAGAAAGAGAGGGGGGAGGGAGGGAGGGAGGGAGGAAGGGAGGGAAGAGAGAGAGAGAGAGAGAGAGAGAGAGAGAGAAAAGCTGGGCGCCGGTGGCTCATGCCTGTAATCCTAGCTACTCAGGAGGCTGAGATCTGAGGATCATGGTTCAAAGCCAGCCCGGGCAGGAAAGTCCGTGAAACTCTTATCTCCAATAAACTACTAGAAAACCGAAGTGGCGGTATAGCTCAAGTGGTAGAGAGCTCACCTTGATCTGAAAAGTGCAGGGACAGTGCTCAGGCCCAGAGTTCAAGCCCAATGACCAACAAAAAAGAAAAAGGAAGGAAGAAGAGAGAGAGAAAGAAAGAAAGAAAGAAAGAAAGAAAGAAAGAAAGAAAGAAAGAAAGAAAGAAAGAAAGAAAGAAAGAAAGAAAGAAAGAAAGAAAGAAAGAAAGAAAGAAAGAAAGAAAGAGAGACAGAGAAAGGAAGAAAGAAAGGAAAGAAAGAAAGAAAGAAGGAAAGAGAGAGAGAGAGGAAGGAACGAACGAACGAACAAACTAGCTGGGTACCGGTGGCTCACACCTGTAATCCTAGCTACTCAGGAGGATCTCAGTTCAAAGTCAGCCCAGGCAGAAAAGTCCCCATGAGATTCTTATCTCCAATTAACCACTCAAAAACCATACATGGAGCTGTGGCTCAAAGTAGTGAAGTGCTAACCTTGAGCAAAAGAGCTCAGGGACAGAGCCCAGGCCCTGAGTTCAAGCTCTAGACCAACATCAAAAGAAAAAAAGTACTCATTACCTTGGCATAACCCCTCTGCACATCACCTTTACAATAAAAAAGAAAGTCCAGAAATAAGTCCATATTTTTGTCCAATTTTATTTCCTACAAAGTTTCCAAGAACATCCACTGAGGAAAACTCAGTCTTTAATAAATGGTGTTGTGGGAACTGAATGTCTACAATCATAAAGGGGAGGGGGTGGGGGGAGGAAGAGAAGGAAGAAAACAGGGAGGGGAGAAGAAATTGGACTTTCATTTCATACCATACTCAAAAATTAACTTGCAAGTTATCCAGACCTGGCTCAAGGGGTAGAACACCAGCTTTGAGCAAAAAGGCCAATGAGAGATTGAGGCCCTGAGTTCAAGCCTCAGTACCAACACACACATAAAAAAATAAATGACGGAGCCTGGCTGGGCGTCAGTGGCTCACACCTGTGCGCTAGACCTGCCGAGCCGGGCCGTGTCATCAGGGGCTGGGCTGCTTTCCACACCACAAGAAAGGGACATGGATGCTCTGATGTCCTCTGTGCCCCCACAGCACTGGATAGAGTGCCGTGCTCACTGGGTCCCCTCTGACAGACGCGCCATGAGCCGCACGCAGTGTGCAGGGATGAGCTCTTGGGTGCTGCACACACTGCCCTGCTCCTGAGGGCAGATTTCCCCTGGAATCAGCAGAAGACAAGGACCCAGTGCTGGCCCAGCCCCGCTGCCCCCTCCACTGGGCCGTGCACATGGCAGGTGCTCAATATGCTCATGTCCCTGCATTGATGTTACCTTGCAAACAACAGGTCACTATTCTGCCTTCAATGATCAATCGATCCATGGCAAAGGCCACATCAGTGCAGGGGCAGAGTGGAGAGAGGCAGGAGAGAGGGGGCCACTCTGAGCTGGAGCCCTAATGTCACACCTGAGTGTCAGGGACAGCTCCCACCCTGCCTCCCCTTCTCCCCCCCTCACCCTGTGACTGTCCACGATACCCAGAACAAAATCCATACTCCTTCCACAGCTGGCAGGCCTGGGGTGTCACAGGAACGATCTTGTTCCTTTTGCTCTGGCTGCCATGGAACTCGAAGACACCCGTGGAGCCCTTTGTGCTGGCAGGTCTGGATTCTCCTTGATTTTCTATTTGGGACACTACCTGTTAATGCTTTTGAAATTACTTTTCTTATTACAGAAGATGCTGCTCTCAGAATTGGGGGGGGGGGGGGGGCAGGGCAAGGGCTGCAGCCTGCCCTGCAATTTCCCCACGGGCCTGTAAATTGGGGTGGTGCTAGAGCCTATCCACTCATTCTCACCTCATCCTGGCCTTACTCTGCTCTGCTCTGCCCTTGCCTGACTCAGAGCCCCGGGTCCCACACGCTCCTCACCCTCTGCAGTCAGGCAGCATGCCCTTCTGACCTGGCCCCCTGGGCTGTGGACTGTGACTGCGCATGCCCGGGCCCCAGGAAACCAGGGCAGCCAGCGCAGGGCTTTCTGCCAACGCCTCACACACCTCTGTCTCCTGGGAGCCAAGCTGCACCCTCCTCCTGGTAATCTTTCAGGAGCTCACAGCTCCATGCAGAACTGCCACAGTGCAGGACGGATAGAGGAGGAGGAAGGGCAGTAGCTATGACTGAACCCTGGAAGACTGGGTGGATGCTTTGGCAGCTTCCCCCAGGCCCGACCCACTGCCCAGGTGCCCTTGAGCAGGCTCAGCCTGGTTCTGGGCCGTGGCTTTTCTTCCTACTGAGTGGAGGGCACTGTTCAACTCCAGCATTCACTGGGGCTCTGAGCCCACGGCAAGTGCAGCCAGGAAGCCTGGGGGCAGAGTACCTGTGGCACACCTGACGCCACCCCCACCAGCTCAGGCTGGCTGCTGAAGGTTCTGATACCCCTATGCCAGTTCCTGCCTCACCCACAGAAGGACAAGTGAGTGCGGGCTCTGGTGGGAGCTCAGTGGACACTCCCCCCTCCCAGAAAGAGAGTGCAGCCCAGTAGCTGAAGGCCCAGTTTGGGCTGCCGAGGGCTTGGAGACTTTAGAACTGCACGATGAAGGAATCAGGGGACGTCATCTAAGTGCCTGCATTTCACATCTCTCAGAAAGCTGGGTGGTCTGGTCATGTGGGGCCCACAGAGGAGCTTTGTGGCAGACACCCACGTGGGGAAGATGGCAGTTTTGCCGTGTACCCCAGATACCTCCTGCCTGCTTTTTTATTCTCCCTGCCAGACCCCAGGGGGAGTTCCAAACCAGTCTTTAGCCCAACCATTTGCAACAAGTCTTTACAAGAAGACCTTGAACTTAAACTGAGCCCAATATAAAAATAGACCAAAGTGGTCATCCAGGCAGAGATCTGTGAGGCCTGTCCATAGAGCAGAGGTTGAAAATCACTGATGCAGAATCCCCCAGTCTCTAGAGGGTTCTACTTCCACCGGTGGCCATCCTTGCTCTCGTACACCCTGAGACAGGGAGGTCTTTATCCAGCATAGACTCCCGTGCTGCCTGCCAGGCCCCCTCCTCTGATCACCACCATGTACCTTCAGCTCATTGAGATAGCGCCTTGTATGCACCACCAGCAGGTCCTCCTCGGACGCCTCCCGCGCCTCCACCAGCATGCTGTCCGCCAGGAGCTTCTCCTCTGGAACCACAAAGTAAGCTGCTGTTTCCTGCTGCTACTTCAAGCCCACCCCCTTCCCCCAGGCTGCAGGTATACCCTCAGCAGCCCCAGGGTGAGGTAGGCATTGCTGGCTTGCAGGCCTCCCACAACAGGCTGCCAGCCAGGCCAGTGTGGATGATGGCCAGACTCCCTGGCCCAGGACATTGCATACTGGACTCACAGCAACCCTTGTGTGTCCCAAAAGCTGCCCACAGCCACTGGGTGAGCTCTAGTGTGAGGGGATGGCGTCCACAGGCAGGTGACACATGGTCACCACAGCACCCAAGGCCCCCAGCTATGTGGCCCCACCTCCCTCGCACCCTCATCCTCAGAAGACAGAAGGGAAATGGCCTCCTCTCAAGTGAGCCACACTCTTCCTCATACCTCTGCCTCCATCTGGAACCTTGGTGGCCACTGTACAGCCTGACCTACCCTTGCTCACCTCTCCTTATAAGCAAAGGACAGCAGCTGCCAGTCCGTGGCCAGTGGACATCAGGACAGCCAGGGCTGAACTACAAGAACCGGACCCCGCCAGTGCTGGATTACGCTTGTTTTCATTGCATTTCTTTTGTTTTGTTTTGATCACAGCCTCTATTTAAAGCAAGTAAAACTGCCTTTCCCCACTCAGATGACACATTTCCTTTAAAAACCAATTTAAATTAGTTTTTAAAATAGAGGTAGAATCAGTAACAATATGCAGTGGGGGGGGGGGGGGGGATGGCCAGGTCCCAAGGGAGACGGCAACTTATGCTTGGAGGCCTGTGCGGTTTCCACAGCCCTCACAAATACCATTTTGCTAAAGAAACTGAGGCCCAGCACAGGCAGTGTCTCCCTTCCCCACAAGGCTAGACCAGAATGCTCTACATTCTCAACACATCGCCAGCTCCAATGAGTTGTGATTAGAAATCAAGCCTGGTAGAAACCAACTGGTTGCAAATATTTTCCACATACAGACCAGGCAGGGCTCCCTTTCTATAACACCCCATGGTCTCCAGTGCTTCCCGCAGAGGGCTGGCTCCTCTCCTGGTACAGCACCCAAGGCCCCAGCCATGTGGCCCCACCTCCCTTCCACCCTCATCCCAGAAGACAGAAGGGAACAGAGACAACTGTTGTCTCCCAGGAGTGGAAGACACGGAACGCCACTGGGGAGCTGCTGGGCAATACAGGGGCTGAAGAAGGGCAAAGGACAGGGCAGAAGGCACACATTTAGGAACCGCAGGCGATGTTCCCTATCCTTCAGCTTTTCTTTCTTTGAGTGTTCAGTTTGCTCACTACTGTAATCAGAAAACCAGTATCCCTTGCCATAAATAGAAGAACCAGAAATGAAAAATCCAATGGGAGCACAGTGTTACTAATCTCTGAGCTGATGGTATTTTTGCAAGATGGAGAGCCCACCACTTGCTCTAGGTCTGTTTAGAAAGGAGATGGGCTTTGGTGTTAAAGGTGGGCTGGCGACACTTGCTCCACACTGTAGTCAGAAGGGGTGCTTCATCCTGTGCCAGACACACTTCCTGTTTTCCCCAAATGCAGGGAAACTCCTCCCCAAATCAGATCACAGGTAAAATGATGCTTTCCTAATGGGGCCTCCACTGGAGCTGTGTCCAAACATGAGCCAGGAATCTTGGTCCCAGAGCTGACTTCCAGACCATAATCCCACATAGTAGTTGTGTGGCACTGTCCATATTCTAACTGTTCCAGCTCCAATTTCCTAATCAGCAAGGCTGAAGGGACACCGGATTCCTCCAAAGTTCAGCTTCTAAGTGTCCAGCTTTGTGTATGTGTGCCAGTAATGAAGCCTGAACTCAGGGCCTAAGTGCTGTCCCATAGCTTTTTTTTTTCTTGTTTTTTTGTTTGTTTGTTTTTTTGGGTCCAGTCATGGGGACTGAACTCTGGGCCTGGGTGCTGTCCCTCAGTTCTTCAGCTCAAAGCTAGCGCTCTACCACTTGAGCCATAGCGCCACTTCCGGCTTTTTTCTTTTTGCTTATGTGGTGCTGAGGAATCGAACCCAGGGCCTCTGGCATGCAAGGCATGCGCTCTACCACTGAGCCACCTTCCCAGCCCCTTTTTTTTTTTCTTAAGGCTATCATTCCACCTCTTGAGCCACAGCTCCACTTCTGGCTTTTACTGGTTAATTGGAGGCGAAAGTCTCACAGATTTTCCTGCTTGGGCTGGCTTTGAACTTTGATCTCAGCCCTCTGGGTATCTAAGATTACAGGCGTGAGCCACCTGTGCCCAGCCTTCTATGCTCAGCTTTAATGAGCTCCTCTTCTACTGGGGCAGAGGCACCGGACCAGAGGGAGTGTGAAAACAAGACACATCATGCTTAGGACTCTACTGCAAAGATCTTGTTGGCAGCAGGGGCAGAAGGCAGTGTGGAGTCTGCAGCTGGGGGTGAGGGTCCTGATGCTTCTCTTGAGATGTGTGGGGAGGACAGGTGGGCCCAAGGAAGCAGGGGGTGAGGAAGGGCTGGGGGTGGAGGGGCTTTGCATACCTTTTAGGAAATTGATCACCTTGCCCCATTTTCCAGCGTCGAAGGGGTGCAGCTTCTCCAGGCCCATGAAGGTGATGTTGTAGCGAGGCGAGTACACGATGGGCCAGCGCTTTTCTGACACATGCTGGTACAGCTGGGTCACGTGTGGCCTTCCGCATGCACAGGACAGACAGGAAAACCTCAGTGTGGAGCGAGGCCTCCCCTCCCCTGGCCCCCACCTCCCACTCTGCCGCAGCAACAGGAATAAGAGCCGATCCTCACTGGGCCCCGACGGGCTGGCCCTGAGCCCAGCCCCTGGCCGGTCCTCCCCGCAGCAGCCGGGGAGACAGGCCCTCCACCCCCACCGGGGGCTGCTCAAGGACCCGACGGCCCAAGGTCACACACAGGCCCGTGGAGAGGCCGCGGTGCGCTGGGGGGGGGTCTAGTCCCAAGGCCTCGGCGCCCCCTCTCCACACCAGAGCACCGCACCGCTCCCCTCGGGGGGGGGGGGGGGCTGGGCCTCGGCTCCACCACGGACGGGGGGGGGGGGTGGCGAGGCACCGACCGCGCACGGCATCTGAAGAGAGGCGCGCAGACGGCGCAGGCCGCGGCCCGGGGGCCTGGGCTCCGGCCGGGGGCCCCGCGTGACGGCCCCACAGGGGCTGCTGGCGTCCCACCCTGAGGCCCGGCAGGGGAGCCCAGGGCCCCCGCCCGAGGGGCCCGGCGCCGGTCTCCCCGCGTCGCCGAGCAGGCGCGCGCGGCTGGCCCGGCGCCCGGGGCGGCCGACGGTGCGGGCCCGCGCGCCCCGGCTCGCCCGAGTAGGCCAGCACCTGTCGGGCCCGGGGGCCGCGCGCGCGCGCTCCGCCGCCCGCGGGGACCCCTGCGGCCCTGCCCGAGCCCCCGCCCCGCCGCACTCACATCCCGGGGCCGGCCCTCCCAGCGCTGGCCGGAGCTCGGCGACCCGAGGGGGGAGCGCGGGGCGGGCGGGCGGGCGTGGCCCGCCCGGGACACGCCCCCAGGCTGCCGCGGCGCCTCCGCTGGGGGCGGGGCCTCGGCAGGCTTGTCTCCTCCTGTCCCACGCCGCGGTGCGTCACAGACCCTAGAATCCCGAGCCCAGCTCGCCCGCCGAAAGAAGGCCACGCCCCCAGGGCCCGTCACGCGCAATGTCCCGCCTGCCTCAGACCAATACCCAATGGAATTCCACCTGGCTCAGAAGGCCACGCCTCTTGGTAGGCGGGCCACGTAGGGCTGCGCTTCATTCGTGGCGGGAGGGGGTGGGACCTGCGGCGTCGCCCCGCCTCGGAGGCGTGGTCAGCGTGTCCCTCCTCCTCCACGCTTCCAGCCTATTTTTCATCTCCCGGAGGAGAGGAGCCGGGCGACGGGGGCGCCGCCGGCCCCGGGCTCGCATGCGCTCTTGAGCAAGGCCCCCGCGCTCTCTGGACCTTTGCTTCTACTAGACACGCGTGCGGTTGGTGGGGGCTACTCGTCTTCTGAGCTGCGGAGCCATGACCTCCCGCCTAGAGGTCGGCCGCGCGGCCCCCTTGCGCAGAGGGTCACCTTCCCAGCAGCCTCTCTGAGGCTGGGGGGCAGGGGTACCCCGCCCCGTCCCGGGCCCACGCGCCAGCTGGGGGTGCTGCGGCTGGAACCGGGAGGAGGCCCCACAATAGGGCCCAGAGCTCGGGAACAGTGGCCCTCTGTTGGCCCAGCTGTCCCCGCCAGCAGACAGCAGCAGCTGGCCAGGGCCGGGCCCGGGTCCCCGGCGGGGCCTGTGCCAGGACCTGCCACCGTGACGACTGCCCAGGATCGCGTGGCCCTGGGCAGGGGGGCTCCGGGCCGCCTCCCGAGGGGTGCTGCCCCCCCCCCCGTGCTCCCGGGCGCTGGCCAGCCCGGGACCTCGCGGCCCTCCGTGTGCCCTGGAGTGACGCGTAGCCTTGGGTCTGCAGAGCTGACCTGTCCTTCTCAGTGGGGCCTGGCCCCTGGTCCGCGCCAGCCCTGCGGGACTTTGGAAACCCCTCCTGCCGAATCCTTCTGCTTTCTAATTCTATTTCCCGTGGTTTCCCCAGCAGGCAACTCCATTGCAAAGTATTGCCAACTGACCCGCCAAACCTTTCCTCTTTCTCAGTCGGTGGTCTCAGCTGTAGTAATGGAAGCTAACCATTGCAGGTCGCTATGGGGAGTACTGACACCACTTTGGGGGGAGGGGGGAGGGCACTGGGACCTGTCTTTGAAGGGGATGTGGGCGCTGGGCCCCCTCCCTCACCTTCTCTTTTGGTTTCTGGCCATGATGTGAGTGGGTTTGCTCAGCCACATCTTCCTAGGGCCTCATCACAGGCCTAAATCTACAGGCCCATCAGATCAGGACCTGGAGCCTCCAAAACTATGAGCCAAAATGAACCCCCTCCCCTTTTTTTTTCCTGTAAGTGGTTAGCTCAGACATTTTGTTTATAGTGATGGAAAGCTAACACACATGGTGAGTGAGGTCCAGGGAAGGAGTTAAGCAGAGAAGGAAAAAACAAAACAAACTCTGGTGTTCTGGGCAATCTTGGAGATTCCTCCAGCCCTCTCCAACTGAGCAACTGGAGTGAGTGGGACTTTAGCAATGGCCCTGCCTCCTGTCCCTGGCATTTCCTGCAGAGGCCTTGCAGACTTGATGCATTCACAGGGCCTGTCACCAAGAAAATCTGGGCTTTAATCCTAGCCACATCTCACCAAAGCCAAGGAGCTGGTCCATCCTGGTGACCAGGTAGTGGCCCCAAAGCCCCTGCCTCCACCATAACCCCTGCTACAACCTCAGCAGGCCCCAGTCTCATCCTCAGGGAGGTTGACGCACTTGGTGGAGTGAAGTCACCCCTCCCTGCTCTCGGCTCCTGGCAGCCAGAGGCTTGCTATGCCTACAAGGATTGGTGCTCAGGAGATTCCAGGACTGGGAATTCATTAGCATACAAGGCTGCCAGCAACAAACATGACACATGCTCCCCAGCTGCACTGATGGACACACACCCCACAACTGCCACATGCCACCCCAGATGCACATTCACACACACACACACACACACACTGCCTGTTATTTTGCACTTTGCCTTTTAAAACCTAAAACACATCTTTAAAGATACCCTAACATCAACAGGACCTAATCTACTACCACCTTTTTAGTGGCTGTGCTATATTCCTTTGCAGGACTATCTTTTTTTTTGGGGGGGGGGGGTGTCCGGTTGTGGGGCCTGAACTCTGGGCCTGGGCGCTGTCCCTCAGCTCTTCAGCTCAAGGCTAGCGTTCTACCACTTGAGCCACAGCGCCACTTCTGGCTTTTTTCTTTTTTGCTTATGTGGTGCTGAGGAATCGAACGCAGGGCCTCATGCATGCAAGGCAAGCGTTTTACCACTAAGCCACCTTCCCAGCCCCTTGCAGGACTATCTTTTGTCCCTGTGCATGCATTTCTAGTTCCTTTGCTCTCAGGATGCCTCAGGGGGTACTTGATGCCCTGAGCCTGGGCATCTGACCATATTTCCACATTTAATTCTGACAGAGATGGCTAAGATGTCTGCCCCAAAGGTAGTGTTATTTTATACCTTTATCAGTAATACAGGAGGAATGTCTATGCTTGCATTTATTTTGCTAATAGGAGGAGTGTGAAGTCCTGTCTCTGTGCATTTTTAAATATATCGACATGAATAATATAGGCATTTTCTAAATATCCACAAGGAATTGATGCCATGTAAACCAAAAGCATGTATGTTCCAGTCCCTTACAGTGGTGTGGCATTCTCACAGAACTTACCCCATCTACTTTAAATCATCTCTAGATGGCATATGATACCCACACAATGTCAGTGCTCTGCAAACAGTTGTTAGATGTGAGAGCCCCAGAAACCGAGCTGTGAGACCTGAAAGGACAGGGAGTTTGGAAGGCTTCTCCCAACATACTCTCAGGACGCTGAGAGTTTCCTGAAAAGGTCCATCAGTCCTGGCTTGATAGGAATTCAGATTTCTATCCTGGATGTAGGTTTAATTCCACCCCAAACTTTCTGGGAGCATGGGGATAGACAAAAGCCTATGCAAAGTCATTTACTGCTTACCTCTACTTCCTATTCCTAAGATAAGGAAGTCATTTATCAGTTAAATAAGATTGTACCACAGGATTGGTGCTTGTGACTTCAAGAATATTGTTACCGGACTGGGAAGGTGGCTCAGTGGTAGAGTGCTTGCCTTGCATGCATGAGGCCCTGGGTTCGATTCCTCAGCACCACATAAGCAAAAAGGAAAAAGCTGGAAGTGGCGCTGTTGCTCAAGTGGTAGAGCTAGGCTAGCCTTGAGCTGAAGAGCTGAGGGACAGCGCCCAGGCCCAGAGTTCAGGCCCCACAACCGGACCCCAAAAAAAAAGAAAAAAGAATATTGTTACCTTACTTTCTGCACATACACCCCTGAACCCTACTCAATAAATACCTTGTGTAAAGGACCTTGGGCACATGAAGCAGGCAGAAGACCTCAGGCCCTGGATGCCCCAAACCTCAGTTCCATGGTTTGGTCTCCATTACTGCCCCGTCCCAGGACATGGTGGGTCCTGACAGATCCTTTTTTTTCCGTTTGTCCTAAGGCTTGAATTCAGACCCTGGCGCTGTCCCTGGTCTCTTTTTTGCTCAAGGCTAGTGCTCTACCATTTTGAGCCACAGTTTCACTTCCCATTTTTTGAGTGGTTAATTGGAGATAAGAGTTTCTCAGGGACTTTTCTGCCTGGGCGGACTTCAAACTGATCCTCAGATCTCAGCCTCCTAAGTAGCTAGGATACAGGTGTGAGCCACCAGCACCCAGCTCAGATTATTATTATTATTATTATAGATTATTATTATATTATTTATAGTGACAAAGAAAAACGTCTATACGGGGGCTGGGAAGGTGGCTCAATGGTAGAGCGCTTGCCTTGCATGCCTGAGGCCCTGGGTTCGATTCCTTAGTACCACATAAGCAAAAAGAAAAAAGCCGGAAGTGTCGCTGTGGCTCAAGTGGTAGAGCGCTAGCCTTGAGCTGAAGAGCTGAGGGACAGTGCCCAGGCCCAGAGTTCAGGCCCCACGACCGGACCCCCCCCCCCAAAAAAAAAGAAAAAAATGTCTATACATGTTTGTACAGGTGCATTTGCCAAAGCAAGTACTGAGGTTTGGACTCAGGGCCTTGGATTTGCTAAGCAGGTGCTCTACCACACCCCTATGCATTTTTGCTTTCGTTATTTTTCAAATAAGATCTTGCTTTTGTTGAGGTCAGCCTGGACTTTAATCCTCCTACTTATACTTCCCACATAGCTAAGATGATAGGTATACACTGCCACATCTAGCTTCATCATTGGTCAGATGGGGCCTCGAGAACTTTTTTGCCTGGGCTGGCCTCAAACCATGATCTTCCTGCTCTTTATGAGTAGCTGGGATTACAGTCATGAACTACTGCACTTGGCCCAGGTGCAGTTTTAAAGTTTTTTATTGGCAGTGTTGGGATTTGAACATGTACTGCTTAGTTATTATTTTGTAACCTCAAAACTCAAAAAGTAAGACCAAAGCATTCACTGTCTCCTTCAAGTCTGGTGGTCTTCTTTGCTGTTAATCTGGGTGGTAGTTGGCTGGTGTGACTGGACAGTTGGGGGTCTGCTCTGGCTGGGATGACTCAGCCTTCTGGGCTAGTTGTCCATTAACCCATAGCTTTTTACATCGTGCCAAACAGCCAGCCCCAGTGTGTCCTCGTGGAAGTAGCAAGATTCCACAGCCACCACCATCTTCCAATGTCTTCTCTGATTCACTCCCCTTGATTCCATTCACCAAAGCAAGTCACATGGCCAAGCCTACATCTAGGGCAGAAGAGAGACACTGCCAAGGTCCATGAACAGCGGGATGCAGGAATCGCTGGGGCCCTCATTGCTGTCATCTACCCCAAGCCCCACGCTCAGCAGATGGGAAGGCGATCTCCATAGCAACCAGTCCTGAGGTGCAGATAGCAAGGATGTCTCATGGAGGCTGCTGACTGCTGCCTACATGTGACCTG